CCCCAAAACCCCAAAACCCCAAAACCCCGCTAAGAGAAATTCTTCTTAAATAAGAGATTAAAAAAAGTCATTAAAAATTTAAATAAAATTTTCAAGAAATGAATAATTAAATCAATCAGTTAAATATATTAAGTTAATATTTGTTAATAGAATCTGTCAGAAACTTTTAACTGCCCCTACATATTTCTTACAAAGGGGACACTCTAGTTTCTATTTCATCCAAGATTGAATGCATAATGAATGGAAGTAATGTCTCTTATCGCAATTTAACTCTGTAATTTTATCATCATCTTAGAACTTGGCTAGGCATATTGCACATTCATTCATGCTTTTATTAACCTCTTCAATATACTTAAAGTCTTTTTTGTTAAGACTTTTCACTACATTTAGATATGGTATTTTACCAATGAATTCTGAGGGCTAGTCTCTATCACTAGATCCACTGCAAAGGATACAGCATGATAAAATACAAAAACATCCGAGTATGGCATATACAAAGAGCAGAATATATCCAAACGCAATCGAAACCATCATTAATATCCACATAGTCTTAAAATCATCAACATTAATTCTGCACTTCACACTGTCTTCTGTATAATGAAATGTATTACCGTAAATGACCCATGATACCTAGAAATTAATTACAAAACACAAATTAGCTAGACTTAGAAATTAAACAATTGGCTTTGCCTTTTCTTTTTTAATGCACAAGATTATTGTTAGCAAAATGAAATAGAAAAACTATAATCCATAAGTAACGCCCATCACAATAAGCCATGTTGATATTGGAGTTTGACAGTTGTAATCGTATTTTATTATTTTGGATGCATCTCTGTTACTTATTCCTAATCCAATCCAAACTGCAGAAGTTATAGCAGTTGGTATGGAACACTAGATTGATCTCTTCATAACTTTTTCAAATTCTGTTTCATTGTACTCTTTTGCCTATTATGCAGATCTCTCTAAATTCTATCTAATCTCTCTGAAGCTTTGCTATCTAGTTGTAATTCTTCTTAAATTATCTTAAAAATTGATGAATGGGTGAGGAAGATCTAAGTTTGGATCTATGCTAAACTCAAGATTACGTAATCAAATTTACAAGAAATTTTGGTTATCATTCATAGGTGTAATTCTCTATAGGTTGTATGGATATTGCATCACTCCGATTCCGTTGCTATAATTTAAATTTTATTGATTGGAATGGTGATGCTCATTCTAATGATCATTTCCTTCAAGTATGTCTTGATTGTCCTGTTAATCCATTTAATAAAATGATACAATTGAATTGACGTCAAATAATTTATCTTCTTAACTTACTGAAATTTCTTATTAATCAATCTGATGGGGTTTTGGGGTTTTGGGGTTTTGGGG